ACATACTGTTTTGTGACATTGGTTGCCAACCCCATGATGTGTCAACACTCTCCCCTTCTTGACCTTGGGTTACCCATTACCAGCTTTCCTGTCCCTTCCTGCCTTCTTGTCCTTGCCCCTGGGCTGGTGTGCCCATTTAGTCTCGTTTTGTTTTACGGGCCTGTCTAAATCTTTGGCTGAAGGGTGAACCTCAGGAAAGACTTCAGTACTGAGTTAAAAAGGTGTCTGGGGCCATACTCTCGGGGTTTCTCCAGTCTCTGTCAGGCCAGTAGGTCTGGTATTTTCTTGTGAGTTAGAATTTTGTTCTACATTGCAGCCAGGCGAATTTTGGGGCTCTAATGGCCTCTTCATTTTGTACTATCTTTTTCACTTTCAAGCTTTCAGCATATTTGATGTTATGATTCAAGTCTTTCTAGGCGTTCTTTAAATCTCACTGGGGTTCACTCCATTAGACAACACCAAACCCACACATCTGTTTGACATACGTCCTTTTCTACCTTGCTTTGTCCACCTTTTAAAATGTATAACCCTTGCCTCACAACATTTCCCACACTTCCTTTATTTTTATGTTCCTTTATGGCATTTATTCCCATTCAAAATACCATATATTTTACTTATTTTTTTTATTTATTGTCTGCCCCCTAACTTCCCTACCCCCATTATAATACATTAGCTAGAATAAGGCAGGGAATTATGTTTATTTGGTCACCTTTTTATCCTCAGTTATTAGAACACTATGTAGCACATTCAAAAAATGCTGAATAAATGAATTACAGCAATTTCAAAAAGGATTTGAAGACTCTTTGAAACAGACACTCATCTGCTGTGAAATCCTATAACATACGGAAATACATTAAGTCCCTGGGTTACGAAAGTCCGACTTACAGACAATTCATACTTAAGAATGGACTGCCATAAAGCCTATTATATTAAAAATTTGACTTAAATACAATGGTTTGTAATAACAAATGCATGCACTACTTTGTGACACTCATGAAAACACTGCATGGCTTCAGAGGTTCATTGGCTGTTTTAAGGACTGTTCCTTTAATGTTTTTCCACAGTACTGTATACCTACACACATACACAGATTCTCTCTTCAGTACAGTACTGTATGTAGTTACTTTTATTCTTACTCATTATTATTATTATGTACTGTATTATTATGTTTAAGATGTTTTAGTGTATTTGAAAGTGTTTCTTAAGTGTTTCATATACATAAATAAAAAAAACAAACCCCAAACCTGTTGTTGCGGAGTCAATTCCAACTCAGAGCGACCCTGTAGCAACCCTATATGTATAGAAAGGTAAAGTATATACTATATACTAAAATACTCATTTAACTAACTGATGCAAAATAAGAATTATATGCACCTGTTCTAACTTACCTTGTAGGTAAAGACAGACTCAGGAACGGATTTCCTCTGTAACCCAGGGACTGTCTGTAGTGTAAGTCTATTCACAAAGCGGATCAATAGATATGACTTTGGATAACCTAATAAAAAGATTTAAAAAAATTAAAATTTTAAAAATTAAACGAAATATTCCCCCTACATATATAACAACAACAACAAAAAAACCCAACACAAAAAACATCAACAACAAACTCACACCCACACTCACAAAAAGTTTTATATATAGACTTAACCATACATTCTTGTGAATGATCACCAGTTCCATAGAGAGGGAAGATATATATTGTCGGAAATGAAATTATATTATGAGAGTTATTCAGAGTAATATGTAACTTATAAGTATTTTAGATTTATAACATAAGTATAAACAGCTAAACAATGCCGCTTAATAAATCCTCTTACTTTTTTTTCCATATTGGATTATGCTAAAATAATCCTTTTCTTCTCTCTCTCATATTTTCTATATGATCATTAATAAAAAAAATCAATGATCTTCGTTTTGTATTTATAAAGATTCTGAATTAACGTCTGCAAAAACCTTCTATTACTTTCCAAGTTTTCAATCTCTAGTGATTTGTTTGGCTAAAAGACTTTTGCTTAAATCAATTTTTACATTGAAATCTTGGTCTTATAATCAATGATAGGTCTGTATCATTTTTTCCCATACTGGAGAGTTGGATTTTCAGGGTAGAGTCAACATTGTTCTTATCTTCTTGAAGTAGTAGTTGTTGTTAGTTGCTGTTGAGTCAGCTCCAACTCATGGCAATCCCACACACAACAAAACAAAACGTTGCCCGATCCTGTGCAGTCCTCCAATCTTGGTACTCTCGAGTCCATTGTTTCAGCCACTATATATTTTGAGTGCCTTTCAACCTAGGGGGCTCATCTTCCTGCAGTATATAAGACAATAGTCTATTGTGATCCATAGGGTTTTCATTGGTAATACTTAGAAGTAGATTGCCAAGTCTTTCTTCCTAGTCTGTCTTAGTCTGAATGCTCCACTGAAACCTGTTCACCATGGGTGACCCTGCTGATATTTGAAATATTGGCGGTATGGCTTCCAGCATCATAGCAACATGCAACCCACTGCAATACAACAAACTGACAGATGGGTGTGAGTGATGGCCTGGAAGTAGAACCACACCTAAAAGAGGAAGATGACCAATCCTACTATATTTTTGTCAGAATATGAGATTCTCCTTAGAAGTCATCAGAATATGGCCAGGAAATGAGTCTGATGCAACTGAGCTGTCCATATTGGTTGAGTATTTTATGGTCTTGCTGCATTTCCATGCTGCCCTATGGGACTCATTTCCCTGTCAGCCAGGAACAAATACATGGACAGACATCTCAGATGTTTGCCATGTCTCTGGAAACAGTAATAGCCATACTGATTTGGTTGTTGGACAACATGAACTTGTTTTGGGCATCAGTCTATTGCTGAGGTACAAGCTTCTCATGATGGAAAAGGACCACACATAGGAAGTCTTCCTGAAGAGAACAGTGTAGCATGTTCAAACTACCAGAGAAGGGTGATGTTAAAGCTCCTGTTAATCATCTGACTCTTAGGAAGTATCCTCACATTGTCAGCTTAGGGTGGGGTCTAGGATGTGAGGGCTTCTCTTCCTTAATTTTCTGGCGTCCCATTAGCTCACCTGGACCTTCTTAGGGAAGAAGCCAAAAAGTGTAATGTAAAGGTCTTAATTTCTCTTTCTACAGAAGCAGCCAATTGTATCAATAAAATGGGCCAATGGGTTCTCTCGACTATGGGGAGCAGGGAAGGCCGACGCCCACCACCAAATCTCAACCCCCCACCATGCCCCTGCCGAAGCAACAACAAAAACACACCCTTTTCTCTACTTCCCCTTTGCTTCTGCCTCAATTATTACACCTTCAAAAATTGCCTATAGGATTGTTCACAATAGCAAAGAGATGGAAACAACCTAGATGCCCATCAACAGATGAATGGATAAACAAACTATGGTACATGCACACAATGGAGTACTATGCAACGAGAAAGAACAGTGATGAATCTGTGAAGCATCTCATAACATGGATGAAACTAGAGGACATTATGCTGAGTGAAATAAGTCAATCACAAAAGGACAAATATTGTATGAGACCTCTATTGTAAAAACCCATGAAAAAGTTCACACACAAAATGTAACAATCTTTGTTGGTTACCAGGGATGGGAGGGGGTGGGGGGGGAAATACTAAATAGGCAATAGATAAGTGGTATCTTGGGTGAAGGGTGAAACAGTACATAATACTGGGGAAACCAGCACAACTTGTACAAGGAGAGGTCACAGAAGCTCCATAGACACATCCAAATTCCCCGAGGGACTGAATTGCTGGGCGCAGGGCTGTGGGGACCATGGTCTCGGAGAACATCTAGCTCAATTGGCATAACACAGTTTATAAAGACAATGTTCTACATTCTACCTCGGTGAGTAGCGTCTGGGGTCTTAAAAGCCTTTGGGCAGCCATCTAAGATACTCCACTGGTCTCATCCCTTCAGGAGCAAGGGAGAATGAAGAGAACAGGATACAAGAAAAAGATTAATCCAAAGGACTAATGGACCACAGCTACCAAGGCCTCCACCAGACTGAGTCCAGTACAGCTAGATGGTGCCCAGCTACCACCACTGACTGCTCTGACCGGGATCACAACAGAGGGTTCTGGACAGAGCTGGGGAAGGATGTAGAACAAAATTCTAACTCACAAAAAAAGACCAGATTTACTGGCCTAAAGGAGACTGGAGAAAGCCCGAGAGTATGGCCCCCAGACACCCTTTTAGCTCAGTGGTGAAGTCACTTTCGAGGTTCACCATTCAGCCGGGGAGTGGACAGCCCCGTAAAACCAAATGGGACTAATGAGGCACAGCAGTCCAGGGACAAGGGCCAGAAGGCAGAAGGGGACAGGAAAGCTGGTGATAGGGAACCCAAGGTTGAGTAAGGACAGTGTTGACGTGTAGTGAGGTTGTTAACCATTGTCATAGGGCAACATGTGTACTGCTTAATGAACCTATTTTGTTCTGTAAACCTTCATCTAAAGTGAGAATAGCAGCACCATTGGAAGAGTGTAGTTGATGTCACTGAACTGTGCATGTAGAAAGTTTTGAAATGGTGTATATTTGACTTTGTATATTTTCACCAAAAACAAAAAAAAAGTCCAGAAGGGAGAGGGTTGACATGTCATGGGGTTGTTAACCAATGTCATAAAACAATATGTGTACTACGGTTTCATGAGAAATTATTTGCTCTGTAAACCTTCACCTGAAGTACAATTAAAAAAAAAAATGCCTATTGGTCAGCATATAATTCTAATGAACTGTCCAATCCAGTTATCTTGCATCACCTAAGTATAGTACATATCAGACTGGCTAAAAATAAGTTAAAGTATTAGTGACGGTAAATACTTTTTCCCAAACAGAGGCGTATGAGGGGTTGCTTCATCTTTAAGTCATATGTATCTCATCCTAAAATGTTTTTCTTACAGAATATAACATATTCCTCCTGAATCTGAATTAGATCTCCATACTTTTCCTCTCATTTCCTCTTATTTTTTGGCAGCTCCTGATCATAATGGGAACCATAGTCTCTCTACTTTACATCTGGCTGTATTCCCAGAGCTTCCACTTCCATGTGGCACATCTTTATGCTCATTTTGGGTACTCCAGTGCTCAGCATATTGTTGGCCAAAGATACCTGAAAGGTAACATCTTTGTTTCTCTGGATTCCATTCTACTGTGGGAAGAGTGGTAGGGTGGATTTGCTGGTTAGATTTCTATACCTATAGGTTTATAGATTCTATAACAGTTAACTGAATCTCTTTTTCCTGTTATATCCTTTGCTTTCACCCAGGAGCTGGTGTGATGAAGAATGAAGAGATGGCAATGCATTGGTTTAGGTAAGAAAGACAACATCTACCAAAAAATAGAGCTCTAGAGTTAACCTTTTCAGGAAGTGCTGAAATATAAAACCTTACACTTTTGGTGCTTATTCCTAGAAAAAAAGAAAGCAGACATCTAAACTTTCTTAATATGGGAGTCTTGATATCTTCTCTATTTTTTCTAAATGGTACTAGGGTAGAAGTTGTGGTCATGCCAATGACCGCCCTGACAGGGAACACAACAGAGAGTCCCTGATGGAGCGGGAGAAAGGTGGGATGCAGAACTCAAATTCTAGTAAGAAGACCAGACTTAATGGTCTGACTGAGACTGGAGGAACCCTGGAAAGCATGGCCCCCGGATTCTCTATCAGCCCAGAACTAAGACAATTTCTGAGGCCACCTCTTCAGACAGCGATTGGACTGGACTGTGGGACATAAAGTGATACTCGTGAGAGTGTGCCTCTTAGCTCAAGTAGATAGAAGAGACTAAACAGGCAGCTTCTGTCCGGAGGTGAGATGGGAAGGCAGAGAGGGTTAGGAGCTGGTTGAGTGGACATGGGGAATCAGGGGTGGAAAGGAGGAGTGTCTGTCACAGTATGGGGACAGCACTTATGGTCACATAACAATGTATGTACAAACTTTTGTATGGGAAAAAATAAAAAAAAAAGAAGTGGTGGTGGTGGCAGTGGATGCATTTAAAAACCATCTACACAATGTAAGCAAAGCAGTAGATTAGTTTTAAAAGAGCCAATTAGGGAACATGTACAATTCTAGTGAAAGATTCAGAACATCAGTAATTTTATTAACAGTGGGACTATTACTCTGTTTACTGAAATTTTGAGTCTTGCCCATAAGAGATATATTTAAAATTAAAAAGTAGAAATATATCTTACTCATTGTTTTTCTTGCCTAAAATTTTGTTCATCTGATTGTGTGCTAAATCCTCCACAGGCAGCTTTTATGATTCTGCTAGTGTAGTTTTGGCCTTCTGAGTCCTCAAACAAAAACTTTTCATATTTGCAGTTTGAGAAAGTAAGAATAACTTTGGAAACATACACTTGAATATCCCACTTCGTACTCTAAGTACAGGTTAAAAACCCACTGCCATCAAGTCGATTCCCACTCATAGTGACCCTATAGGATAGAGTAGAACTGCCCCATAGGGTTTCCAAGGCTGAAATCTTTACAGAAGCAGACTGCTATGTCTTTCTCCCATGGAGTGACTGTGTGGATTTGAACCACTGATCTTTCAGCTAGCAGCTGAGTGCTTAACCACTGCACTACCAGGGCTCCTTAAAAATAGAGATTAGAGAATGAAAATAAACAGGCTCAAGATGCTAGAAGGAGTCCTTGGATGGTGCAAATGGTTAATGCATTTGGCTGCTAATCAAAAAGTTGGAAAACCAGGGCTCCTAAAAATTAAAAACTTAAGCTTGTTAAAAGACTTCACCAAAAGAATAAAAAGACAACCTACAGACTGGGAAAAAAATTTTGGCTATGCCATATCTGACATAGGCCTGATTTCTAAAATCTACAAGATACTTCAATACCTCAACAACCAAAAGACAAATAATCCAATTAAAAAATGAGCAAAGGATATGAACAGGCAACTTCACCAAAGAAGAAGTTCAGGCAGCTAACAGACACATGAGGAAATGCTCAGGATCATTAGCCATTAAAGAAATGCAAATCAAAACTACACTGAGATACCATCTCACCCTGACATTACTGGCACAAATCAAAAAAAGAGAAAATAACAAGTGTTGGAGAGGTTGTGGGGAGATTGGAACTCTGATGCACTACTGTTGGGAATGTAAAATGATCCAACCATTATGGAAAACAACATGGCACTAGAAATAAAGTAAAAAGCTAGAAATAGAAATGCCATATGATCCAGCAATCCCACTCCTAGGAATGTATTCTAGAGAAATAAGAGCTGTCACATGAATAGACATATGCACACCTATGTTCATTGCAGCATTATTCACAATAGTGAAAGGATGGAAACAATCTAAGTGTCCATCAACAGGTGAATGGATAAACTAATTATGGTACATGAACACAACAGAATACTACGCAATGATAAAGAACAATGATGAATCTTCAAAATATCTCACAACATGGATGAATCTGAAGTGTATTATGCTGAGTGAAATAAGTCAATTACAAAAGGACAAATACTGTACGAGACCACTATTATAAAAACTCAAGAAAAGGTCTATACAAAGAAAGAAACAATCTTTGATGGTCACGAGGGAGGAGATGGTTGAGGGGGGAATCAGTAACTAGATAGTACATAAGTATTAACTTTGGTGAAAGGAAAGACAGTGCACAATATAGGAGAAGTCAGCACCAAGGAAAAGTTATAGAAGCTTCATAGACACATCCAAACACCCTGAGGGACTGAGTTACTGGAGCTGAGGGCTGGGGACCATGGTCACAAGGGTCATCTATCTCAATTGGCATAACAAAGTTCATAAAGAAAATATTCCATATCCAACTTTGGTGAGTAGCATCTGGGGTCTTAAAAGCTTGGGAGTGGCCATCTAAGGTACATCTACTGGTCCTATTCTGTCTGGAGCAAAGGAGAATGAAGAAAACCAAAGACACAAGGGAGATAATAGTCCAAAGTACTAATGAACCACAAGTACCACAGCCTCCACTAGCCTGAGCTCAGAAGAACTAGATGATGCCCGGCTAGCGCCACCAATCTCTCTGACAGGGATCACAAAAGAGGGTCCTGGACAGAGCATAGGAAAAATGTAGAACAAAATCCAAATTCAGAAAAAAAAAGACCAGATTTACTGGTCTGACAGAGACTGGAAGAACCCCCGAGACTATGGTCCCTGGGCACCCTTAACTCAGAACTGAAGCCACTCCCGAGGTTCACTCTTCAGCCAAAGATAAGTTAGGTGTATAAAACAAACAATAACACACGTGAAGAACGTGCTTCTTAGTTCAGTCATGCATAGGAGACCAAGAGGGCAACACCTGCCCAAAAGCAATTATGAGAAGGCAGGAAGGGACAGGAAAAATGGACGGATGGAAACGGGGAATTGGGATGTGGAAGGGGAGAGTGTTGACACATTGCAGGGTTTGCAACAAATGTCACAAAACAATTTGCTTATAAATTGTTGAATGAGAAACTAATTAACTGTAAAGTTTCAGCAAACACACAATTAAAAAAAAAAAAGAAAAGGAAAATTGGAAAACCAAGTCCAGCAAGAGGCCCAAGGCCTGGCAATCTGCTTCCAAAAAATCACCATTGATAACTCTGGAGCACTGTTCAACTCTAACACACATGAGTCAGTCTTCAGAAGTCAGAGTTGACTTAACGGCAACTGATAACATGCTAGAAACTCATTCGACATGGAGTCCGTGGTAGAAACTAATAGCAATTTAGGTGTATGGTCAAACTCACTTATTATAGAGAACAGCCTCAATTTATTTAAAGGTAGAAATTCTGTAAAGTGGAATTTTTCTATGACATTCTTTAAAGCCTTTTTATCTAATACGGTAGCCCGTAGCCATATGTGAAATCAGCTAGTTTGAATTGAGATGTGCTGTATGTGTAAAATACACATTAGATCTTGAAGATTTCATATGAAAAAAAGGAAGAAAAAATACCTCATTAATAATTTTTATATTGATTATGTGTTGGGATGATAATGGTTTGGTTATACAGAGTTAAATTAAATATATTATTTAAATTAATGTTACTTATTTTTAATTTTTTAACGTGGCTAACAGAAAATTTAAAATTACATAAGCGGTTTGCATTATATTTCTACTGGATAGTGCTGGTGTAAAGGGTTCCTTATGATCCTGAAAAGTGTTTGATTATTGTATTAGTCAGGGTTCTCCAGAACCAATAGAGGGGTTGGGGGGGAGATTGATTGATTTTAAAGAATTTGCTGACACTATTGTGTGGACTTGCAAATCCAAAATTCATAGGTCAGGTGATAGGCTAGAAACACTGGCAGTCTTATGTCTGAAATTAGTAGGTCAGGGCTAGACTCTGGCAGTATTTCTATGTGACAATCTTTAAGGACAGAATTCTTATCTCAGAAACCACAGTTTTTGCTCATAAGGCCTTCAACTGATTGGATGAGGCCCACCCCCATTATCTAGGGATATCTCCTTTACTTCATGTCAACTAATTGTAAATGTTAATCACATCAACAAAATAACCTTCACAGCAACATCTAGACTGGTGTTTGACCAAATAAGTGGGCGTTGCAACCTAGCCAAGTTGATACATAAAATGAACCATCACAGTTATCTTAGAGAAAAGTGAGCAGAGCTATGGCTTTGCCATTACTCATGTACTCATGAGCTCGTCCTTCTCAGATATTCTCTTTCTTCTCTCTTCTCTCTAGAAGAGTGATTCCCAAACCTGCCAACATGTAGGAATCACCCGGGGAGCTTTTGAAAAATAACCATGCTCGGCTTCCCCTCCCCACAACAAAAATTGACTTAATTGATTAGAAAAAAGCTCCCCAGGTGCCTGTAATGTGCAGTCAGGTCAAACCACTGCTCTAAAAGTCTACAATGTTTCATCAAGGGGAACTCAAACCAGCAGAAGAAGCTATTTCAAGAATACATTCCAACATAAAGCTTTAAAATGGATGTTCTAATAAAGTTCATCTACCAACAAAAGAAACACCTTTGAGCATCAGGAAGGGAGTGACATGGTACCAGAGTCACAAAGTGTGGTTGGTGATTAACTGGCCAAAACCCTTGCTACTGAGATGCAGACCACCACCAGCAGATGGGCACGTTAGAAATGCTGCGTCTGAGGCCCAACCCTGAATCTATTGAACTAGAGTCCGCATTTTAACTAAATCCTGGGGTGACTAGTATGCACGTCAAAAGTTTGAGAAATGCTACCCTAAACAACATTCTGTAAGCCAGGTCCTTACATGAGACCACACAATTAAAGGCCAGTTTGAAAAATCTTCCCATCTTTCACTGATGGCTTCCACAGTCAGAGGTGCGTTTGTGGTGGTGGTGGAGGGTGGCAGGTACATCACAAAGGCAAGATAGACCCCTACATATTTTTAAAATATAATTTATGGTTTCTGTCATGACTTACAAAATAATTTATGCTTAACGAGGAAAACACTGAAAAACAAAACAGAAAATCATGTGTATCCCACACCACAGCAATAACTACGTTTGATATTTTGAGGAATATTCTTCCAGACTTTTTTCAATTAACATACCTACAATATACCTTAATTTACTTCAGGATTTCACTATTCTATGTATAGTCCTTTTCCTAGATTCTTAGTATCACAAAGAGCCTTTCATATACATCTTTTAGAACATCTAATTATTTCCTTACTAAAAATCACTAAAAAAAAATGAATTATCAGGTCAGACAAGGATCATTCCTAAGGCTGTTGATACATATTGCCAAATTCTCCTGAAAGATTATACAAGTTCATTCTAGTATAAATGCTAAGTTCCTCATACCAAACCAACCAAACCCACTGCTGTTGAATGGATTCTGACTCACAGTGACCCCGTAGGGTTTCCAAGGCTGTAAAGTTCTACAGAAGCAGACTACCACATCTTTCTCCCATGGAGCTGCTGGTGGTTTCAAACCACCGACCTTTCGGTTAGCAGTTGATTTCTTTAACCACCTCACCATCAGGGCTCCTTAAATTATCAATATTGGTTTTAATCATTTGCTAATTTTTGCCAACTTGAATAACAACATAGGATGTCTCATTTAAATTTTCTCATTTTTATCGTTTGTGAGGTTGAACATTTTTTCCCCAGTGTCTTTTATTATAATGAAATCATTTTTATTTTTCTCTTGCCAATTGCCTATTTATGCAGTCTGCACATTTTTACATAGGATTTTGTCATTTTCTTACTCATTTTTCAAAAATTTTATGCAATAAAATAAACTTGTGTACATTTCATTGTACTTGTGACTTTTTTTTTCCTTAATCAGTCATAGTTAGCATGGAAAGAACTGCAAAGTAACAAGGCAATACTTGTATAATCTGCACTGTCCAATATGATCACTACCAGTCACATGTGGTCATTAAAATTTAAATGAGTTAAAATTAAATAAAATTAGAAATTTAGTTCCTCAGTTGTACTATCTACATTTCAAGTGTTCCTTAGTCACATGTGGTTAGTGGATACTGCATTGGACAGGGATATAGAACATTTCCATCATTGCAGAAAGTTCTACTGAACGGCACTGGTATATTACATTTGTATTTCAGCAATTGGAAATAGGGCTTGAGAATCAGGTTACATCTTACTAAATTCCTAACATTCCCAGATGGTCTCTTCCCATATTTTGACTTCCTATATAACTTGGAGAGAAGAGTATAATTACACTAATATTTGGAAAAGCTGGTGAATGGGTTTGGAGCGAATAAGTGATTTGTTTTTTTAAAAAAAGCAATGTACTTGTTTCAAGTAAGAGAAACATTTTTAATGAGAAAAAAGCTTATCACGTCTATTTGTGATAAGACGTAAGTAATGGTTTCCAATAATGGTACATATTTTTATTGATGTGCTTTTGATTTTATTAAGGAGATGCTTTTTCACATGGTTTTTTTCTTGTTTTCATTACATGTTTTTCTCCTCATCGCTATTCCCCGTTTCTTTTCCTTTCTTTTTCAGACAAGCCTCCCAGCAGGACCATCCCCATGCTTCCTTTAACCTTGCAGTGGGAAAGCTGAGAAACATGACTCGTTCCATGGAAGTGGGGTAATGACAGTAGCTGTCTTTCCCCTTTCAGCTGAGATGTCATTCCTTCTAAACCTGTCCTATAAATTACCTGCAATTGACAGTCAAAAGAATTTTATATATAGCCCACTTCCTACTCTTGCTTTTCTATGTAGTTACATTGCCATGAGTTATGATAAAAGTCAGAAAGCAAGAGAATTCAAGGTTCATATATGTACATAGATCCCACTGACTAAATTCTTAAAGCATCTAGTGAGCCTGAAATGAAAGGTCAGGTTATTTCATGATCCTAAAACGCTCCTGTGAATTCCAAAGTCTTCCTTGGGTGAAATCTTTACAGTCTTAAAGCATGGTTTTATAAACAGAATGGTATAGCTAAGAATCTAAGGTAGATAGCTCCCTTTGGAAACAAATTCTCTTGTGTCCATTGGAATAATCCTCTTCTTATTACTCAGGAGTCATCAAGAGAAATACTGCTACTTTCTATGGAGAAGTTTTTCTGAGTGTTTTTTTTTTTTAGTATTTTCATAGTCTGTGATATTTTTATGCAGCTATTTTGAGTCAGAGACATTTTGATAGGGCCCCCAAAAATAAACCATTAAAGTTTCAGCTTGTTTTCTTTTTTAAAAAAGTAAGGCAACTGACATATGTTTCATTACCAAGTAATGTGTAGGACCAACCCCCAAGGTTTACCCGATCCCTGAATCCTCATACTCCATCCCTTAACCTCCTTCCTCAGGCTGAGGGGTAGACAGAGGTCAGAAAAGGGGGAGGCTCAGTGAGGGGCTGAAGGATGGGGGAGCCTTGGGAATTGCTATGATAGTCAGGGAGATGTTGGTTCACACATTAGTTACTAACGCAATCTTGAAATGATCGTTTTGAGGCAGCCAAGTTAAAATGGTGCCGTCAGAACGTTTTGTTTTCCAGTTGACAGCTGCCAGGTGGGCAGGTTGAATGGAGCCTCTCTCTAGTTAACATTCCCAACCCGAAATATAGAATTTGCTTGCAAGAGAGGGGTTCCCAGACATTACTTAAGACTCTTGGCTTGAATAAACTTCTCTAAATAGGGCAAAGGAGTCCAGCTGGGCTCTGATGTTCTAAGAATATTTCTTTGGGTAGCTCTGATTTTATTATGAAGATACTTGTGGCGCAACTCAGATGAAATGACGTGCATTTCCCTCAGTTCCTTAGCATGAGTCCAAACAAGTGTTAACCTGGCCGTTAGCCTGAACACTTGGGACATGCAGGTGCTTTTGGTTTTCTCTTTCTTTGTACTAACAAATAAATACCTCTCCTAGGGATGTAGAGATGCTCCTTAATGTTGCTGCAAGTCAGGGGATCCAAGAGGCCCAGGAACTTCTGAAGAATGTTATTTGGACTAAAAGCAAGCTCTTGCCAACTAAAAGAACGAGCCGTTTTTATAGGCCATAATGTGTCCTGCCTGCTCTTCCTGGAACGTGGGATGTTTCACTTTCATTTGTCTACTGTGGTCTTACAATGCTTTGTGGAAAACGGAAGCTACTTTTATCGTTTTGTATGCTGCTGTATCATCAATGTGCTGTTCAAAACCCTTTAAGCTAGGTGTTGCTTATGTATCTTCCTGAGATCCAACTTTGACCTCTTCTAGATAGAGAGGTATTTTATCTGTTTCAAGCCAGTGAGCATTATTTGAAATGGTAGGAGGGCAAGAAGGAAGAAACTTATAATACCAGAGAGTTGTTTTCTTGGATGTGTGAGTTGGCACCCACAGATCCACTGAAGGAGCTAAACTCATCATTAGCCTAATCTATGACATGTAGTGTTCTGCTTAAAATAAACTTATTTTCAAGTCTCTACATTTCAATTTTCTGCTCTATTAGGTTTCTATGGTATTTCATTGTATTCATTTTCTGATGCTCTACAAAATCCTTTATGGGGAAAAAAGGATGTGATTGTTTTGAACGAAAGAGAAAGGCTAAAATATAATAGCTAACATTTACTGAGCACCTGCCACGTTGTAAGGCACTTTCCTAACTCCTTTACACCTATTTTATCAGTCAATATTCGTAAAAGCTTTATGAGGTGGGTAGTGTTATCATTCACATTTTACAGGTGCCAGAACAGAGATATAGAGAATTTAGGTAATATGTGTGGGGTCACAGAGTGAGTAGTAGAGCATGGTTTTGAATTTTGGCAGTCCTAGAGTTGACATTCCTAACCAGTTCTACTAATATTACTCCCCTGATTCCCTAACATCTCCTTCTGAACAACAAATTGAAGATGCTCCAAGAGCAGTATTGTGGATTGAACTGTATCCCCCAAAAGATACATTGAAGTCCTAACCTTTGGTGCCCGTGAATGTGACCTTGTTTCGAAATAGGACCTTTGAAGATGTTATGAGTTAACATGAGGTCATACAGGAATGGGGTATCTCCTAATTCAAGATGAGTGGTGTCTTTGGAGGGGAGGGGAGGAGAGACACAGAGGGAAGACAGCCATATGAAGATAGAGGCAAAAACTGGAGTGATACATCTATAAGCCAAGGAACACGAAAGATTGACAGGACCACCAGAAGCTAGAACGAGGCAAGGGAGGATCTTCCCCTAGAGCCTTCAGAGAGAGCATAGCCCTGCTGACACCTTGATTTCTGATTTCTTGCCTTGAGAACTGTGAGACAATAAATTTCTGTAGTTTGAAGCCCCGTCTCTTGTAGTACTATGTTAAGGCAGCTCTAGGAAACAAATATAAGCAGACACCTAGGTTACTACCAGTACTTAATGGAAACTTAACCTCAGGCAATGATTCAGCCACATTTTTCTTACTGTATTATTTTTTTGAGCATGAATCACGTATTACTATTCTTTAATTGCACTTTTAACGTCAGTAAAGTTAGCTATGTTTATTGCATTTAGATGATAGCACAAAAAAGAGCCCTGGTGGTACAACGGCTAAGTGCTGGCCTGCTAACCGTAAACTGGAGGTTTGAACTCACCCAGAGGCTCCACGGGACGAAGACCTGGCCGTTTGCTCCTGTAAAGATTACAGCCAAGAAAACCCTATGGGGCAGTTACTCTGTCATATGGGTTCACTATGAGTCAAAAACTGACTTGACGGCACCCAACAACAACAATAGCATCAAGCTCAGACATTTAGATTATAACCCAATTCTCTCCTAGGAATATACATTCGGAAACAGGATGTAAAGATGACGAAAGGTTAAACAAGAATTCAGTATAATCATTGAGCTGTGTTTGAAATCCTTGCTTGCCTTTTAAGTTCCCATACTCCATACTCACTGCCGGTGAATCAACTCTGACTCATAGGGACCCCATAGGACAGAGTAGAACTACCCCACAGGGTTTCCAAGGAGTGGCTAGAGGATTCCAGCTGCCGACCTTTTGGTTTGCAGCCTGAGCTTTTAACCACTGCGCCACCAGGACTCCTTTTAAGGTCCAGAGTAGAGTTTATTATATATGCATATGTAAGATGACTGTGAACCTATGGCAATCTCCTATTTGTCCGAAGAGAAAATAAGAGGTTTCTGCCCAACTTGAACACATAAACTTATTAAGAAGGTAGATGGCATTGTCAGATGTTGCTTTTTTTTATTTTTTGCTTTCAATATTTTATGAATCAATTGTAAACTCTTCAATGTAGAAAATCCAAAAACCAACAACTCAATTCTTCTACTCAAACCTTTGGTAAAAGTATTTTTGTCATCGCTAGAACCACGTCAGCTTCTCTCATATTTTGTTCCAGAGGACTTAATCTTCATTTTAATAAAAGTTATTTGAGATACAACTCTGAAAGTTTTATCCTAAGCCACAAATACTTATTTGCATAGTATTTGGGAAATAATTTCACTCTTGTAAGTGTTCGTTTTTAGCCTTCACAATGATAGCCACTTCACTATGTTACATTTTAAAGTAATATTTCAGAGGCTTGTCTATAGTGTCAACCAAAACTTGCAACTATGAAGACATCCCATAAAACCACCAAAACCAAACCCATTGCCATCGAGTTCATTCCAACTCATAGCAACCCTATAGGACTGAGTAGAACTACCCCATAGAGTTTCCAAGGAGCACCTGGTGGATTCGAGCTGCTAATCTTTTGGTTAGCAGCTGTAGCACTTAACCACTTTGCCACCAGGGTTTCCCATAAATATTAATAACTAAATGGTTATTAATGACTTCTCTTCACTTAAAAAAAATTCCTTCAGGTGACTTCTATAAACATCTCCAACTAGCATTGATGAGAGTACTATACTGTGTCTTCTCCTAACAGTTCTTTGTTGTTCAAGATAAAATAATAAAGTAATTGGAAACTCATAAGTATAATTTTAAAAGGCTCTATAATGACTCACATTATAAAAACCCTTTACTTTAGACTTTCATAATATTTGAGTGTAAAATAAGTATGACCTACTAATTCATTATGGTTGAAGCAGAACCTTTCATGCAAAACCATAGTATGATAAATCAGAATTCTCCTATAATCCGAAGCTCTGCTTCTATCTTCCACCCACTGTAGCTGGGCAAAGGTTCAAGAGGAAAGACAAAAAATAAGAAATAAGTTGTCTGCAGGAGGGGTAGGGACCCAGGGAGGGAGAAAGAACATAACTGTTTACATGCTCATCAGCTCAGACATACTCCAGCTTCCTTTATGCTCCTTCCAGGCCATGGGGGTTGAGACTTTCTGCTCCTTTCTAGATGCCCTCCACGTTTCTTGTTTAGCTGTTCTGACCTCTTGATCCTTTTTCTCTTCAAGGCAGATGTGTCTTGATGGCAATATAAAAAATATTTTTAATTGGAGTATGATATACATTTAAGGTGCTCAAATCTTAAGTGTACAACTCAATGAATTTTACATGTATATCTCCCATTTCTCAGATGAAAATGTAGATTCCAAACATTCATTTGTTCTTCATCAATATCCTCAGGTAGCCATCACTACAAAAAAAAATAAAAATAAAAACCCAAGCCTGTTGCCATTGAAGTGATTCTGACTCATGGTGACCCCACATGTTACAAAATAGAACTGCTCCATAGGGTTTTCTTGGCTGAAATCTTTATGGAAGCAGATTGCCAGACCTTTCTTCTGTGGCACTGCTGAGTGGGTTTGAATCACCAACCTTCAGGTTAGTAGTCAAGCGCAAACTGTTTGCACCACCCGGGGACTATCACTACAGTTGAAAAATATCACTTCAGATTGGTTTTGCCAGTTTGTGAATACTGTCTTTTTTTTTTTTTTTTGGGTAAATTTCTTTGTACAAATTACAAAATTACGGTCTGTTGTGCCTGTATTCTTTCACTCATCTTTGTTTGTGGGATTTATCTATATTGTTGCCTGCATTTGAAGTTAGTTCATTCTCATTTCTGTCTAGTATTCCGTTGTATGACTATACCACAATTTATCTTTTCTAGTTTTGCTGAACATTTAGGTTGTTTCCAGTTTTTGACCATTACAAAAAAAGAAGTATCTATGATCATTCTTGTATATGTCTTTTGATGGACAGAAGCATGTATAAATACATTCAGGAATGGAATTGCTGGGCTGTAGGGTATACATGGAATCCCTGTGTGGTACAGTTAATGTGCTTGTTGTTGGTTCAAACCCACCCAGCAGCTCTGCAGAAGAAAGACCTGGGGAACTGCTTCCGTAAAAATTACAATCTAGGAAACACTATGGGGCAGTTCTACTCTGTCACATGAGGTTGCTATGAGTTGGAATTGACTTGGTGGCACACAACAACAAGAAGAAGCATAGTATCTGGGTGACATGGTGATAAACATGTCTTTTTCCCCAAATTCAGTAATCTTCTCTTGTGGAATCAGCAAAACCAGGAAATTAATACAGGACTACGAGTGAAATCCCATTTCTATCATTTTTGAGGACTGTTTTTGCTCCTGGGCTCCCAAGGCTGACAGAAGCTGCTGGGTTAGTGTCTATTGATGATTAGTGTAGCTGAGATTAAATATGGCCCAGGTTTCATGGCTCGTCAGTGGGGATGAAAGAGGAAGGTAAGAAGTATTTCCTGTTTCCCAGGAATTGCTGCACAACACAGTTTCAAACTCTCCTTGGATTCCTTTTGATGTTTTTCTTCATTTCTCCTCTTTTTATTATGCAAGATTTATTTCTTTTTGCATTTTTCTTCCTATGTATACGGTATAGATACCAGAATTAATTTACTTCCAAGGGAGTGCTGCATTTTTGGGGTTTTCTTTCCCCCTTTTTGGAAACCTTTAAAATAATTTCCAATCTCTTTGAGCTAAATGCAGGGGCATATCTTCAAGGTTCCAAAATGCAAAGTACATGAGTCCAACAAACAAATCTTCGAGTGTCAGAATTTTGAAGAAATGGTTAATTAAACTCATCCTCTCAGGAAAGACTATACAAAGTTATCACATGAGATGCTTTTCCTATCTAAAACATCCTTGAGGATATGGATA